CGAGGGTAACGAGGGAAACAACGGAATGACGCGACTTTTCTTCATTCGTCGCGTAATAATCATTGTATGTCGCTTTAAAGGGTGCGCGGAGACGTGTACGGCAATCCAGTAGGACATTACTCGTACCAAGATCATTCTAACGGAGACGAGTAAAGAGAATTTTCGGCTATTTGTACGATAATATCTATAAGCAAACAGGTAATAATTGATTGTTTGCCTAGATAAACGTGTTTCAGAATTGGAAAAATTAAACAAAATCGCTGTTTGGCATTATCGAGTCAAACGAATGAGAAATATCAATGGCTCGGGGCTTCAAAACTTTTCTTTACTTGCCTCGTTCATTTATTTTAATTTTGTTGAAATGCCTGGTCAAGTTTTAAAATGTATTATTAAGTAATTTCGTAAATTTATTGCACAAGTCGTGTTGTATATTCCCAAGCGGACATACTCGATAGCGATATAGAAATTTAGAAAAAGTTTAACAAACGTGTACATGTGTTTATTTATATATTCACGTGCATACATACGCGCGCGCACACACACCCGCATATATATATATATATATATATATATATATATATATATGTACGTTTGTGTGTGTCTGTATATGTGTGTGTGTGTGTGCATTTAAGGCGGAGGAAAATGTACCTGTAGTTGAGGGAAAAACAAATGATTTCTTAAGCAGTTGTTCGGATGCAATTGCCCTTGGTAATGACAAGATGAAGGGGCGATTTTTATATGCTGTAAGAGATATCGATCCCGGAAGTGTCTTGATAGTAGACAGGCCTTTCTCCTTTAGCACCGACATAGCTGCACTGCACAAGAATTGTCTCTATTGTCATGCTTCATTAAGGCTTCAAGATGTTATCACAGTGCCATGTCAAAATTGCCAAACGGTAAATAAGCATTTAATCATTAACTTATTAAGTAGTAAAGTTATTTCAATTATAGTTCATAAAAGGTTCGTTTTTTTTCTTCTTCAAAACAATAATGCTACGCTATATACTTTTAACATATAGGCACAACTTTTCGAGCTCTATCATCATTCTTTCGTCTTATAACTTCTAATTATTATAATATTAAAGATAAATAACACGATTATAATTATGTATTGATTAAACCTAATGTACACGATTACCTCATTAGATTATGACCGAATGAGGCAAACTGTCAACTTTATACTACGTATTCAGCGTGTTGCATTATTGTATACAAATCTATAAATTCTCACGAATAACAAAGATTGAAACATCTAAATAAAATTAAGTAAAATTGAATATAAAAATATAAAGAAATGTAAAAATAAGGCATTAATACGATTGCATGCAAATCTAAATGACCATTGAGTATGCTTTTTTGATGCAAGAACATACTTATTTGCTTTTTAATATAATTATGATCTTTGATCAATAATAATGTGTAAAAAAATGCATCACTCGTGCATACATTGACATTGAATGTATGTATGTATTCAAGTTGTTTGTGCATATATGAATGCTTCTCAAAGTGCTTGAAAAGTTAATAAAACTATTTTATTCTACTGTAGATATAAATTGCTTCTTAATTTTATACTTCAATCTTGAGTTTTCAAAGCACGATAGTCAACAAATATAACAATTAAAGATTAACTTAACTGACATGTAATTAAAATAAATGGATTTTCTTCACCATACTGTATTTCACAAATGATCAATTGATTAATTTTAAAAGAAAATTATTCGTTTCTAAAAATCAAGATTTTTTAATATTCTCTATAAATTGAAGGATGTATTTATTCACTGTACATTGTGTAATATTTATAATTAATAATTTAATAATGGTACTATTTTTTTTTTTCGTTTTTTTTTACATATTACTTTATTATCTAACAAAACAAAGAACTTTTTACTTGTAGGTACGATATTGTTCGCAAAAATGCTGTGAGTTTGCATGGGATGAATTTCACAAATTCGAGTGCCAAATTTTCGATTACTTTTACGAAAATAAAATTCAAAAAACAAATTCACTTTTAGCGTATAGAACTGTAATTACAGCTTTGTATAATCAGAATTTTGAGTTAAATGTTAATCAAGAGTTTCTACAAGTTCATTCGAATGACAAGAATCCTCTTGACATTAGTATATTGAAAACATACGAGCCACAAGATTACAAAACTGTATTTAGTTTGGAAACTAATTGCGCTCTTTCTAATCCAAAAGATAATTTAGAAAGGGCAATTCAATCCATTTTTTTTGCAAAATGTCTAATTTATTCATTAAATTATTTTCATTCAGAAGCCAATGATTATAAGAAGCACTTACAAATTTTAGCGGTCGCATTGTTACATAACATGCAAACTATTAATTGCAATGCCTATGAAATCGTTGAGAATATTCGTGACGAGGAAACAAAAATTCTGGAACCACATAACGTTGGGGGTGCAATTTATACTTCGGTCAGTTTAAGCAATCACAGTTGTTATCCAAACATCGTTAGACACTCTTTTCCTAATGGTAAGTACAATAAATATGTTTTTAATATAACGTATTGCAGTACATATAAGTGAATGTCAATTTTCAGGCATCGTAGTTGTTAAATCAATACGTTTTATATCAAAGAGTTCAGAAATCCTTGATTGTTATGGGCAACATTTCATTGAGAATAAAAAGGATTTAAGACGTAAATTATTAGCTGAAAAATATTATTTTAAATGTCAATGCCAGGCATGTTCAGCAGATTGGCCAATGACCTTACCAAATGATCAATTTAATTTCAAATGTAGAACGTGTTCTAAGCCATGTCGTCGAACTCGAACTACTGTACAATGTACTGTATGTAATAAAAAAATTGAAATAAGCAAATTCTGTAACTTGCTTAAAAATTCAATAAAAAAGAGACTGACAGCTCTAACAAAAATGTACGATGGTAATTATAATGAAGCGTTACCATTACTTTTAGAGCATGCAAAATGCATTGATGAAATTTTAGTAGAGCCAAGTCTAGAAGCAATTAAAACACAACAATCGATCATTCAATGTCTGAATGCAACATCATCGACTTCTATTTAATCACCTATTACATGACATATACTTATTGTATGCCATCGCAATATTTTTTATATCTATGACTTCGTATAGTGTAAATTATATATAATATTAATGTTTATCGTAAGCTTAAACATTCAACACTATTTTTTGCAATGAGTCTTTAATCAACGAATGAAACTAACATTTTTGCTTGCGTGAAAATTATTTAAATGAATACGTATTTACATAGGTCCAATATACATAGTTATGAGATGTATTTTTCGAACAACTTATCTAAAATTATGTCACTCTGTTCATTCTATGAAAAACTAGCCCATCAAAAACGCTGCTCAATTACCACATGTGCGTTTCGCGAATTTCACTTATAATGTGGCCAGCTTGAGTGAGGGCCTAAAATTTAAAGTTAGTAGAAGCAATGTAAATATAATTAAGTGTATTAATAGTCAATAATTAATGTAGGAATGATACTTACTTGAAGCATATCTGCTGCTTCTCTACGCCTAACGGCAATATGTTCACTTTCATTAAGTAAAGCCTCTGCATTATCAGACTTATATAAATGCGTAACTAGTTCACTTTGTAGATTGTCCTTTACAAAATTAACTAAAAAATGCATAACAGCCTTAGGAACACTGTCTTGTATGGACTTGCGGACAATGTAAAAATATGTCTTAATGAGCCTCTCTAAAATAATTAAAGAAAATGAATTAATGATTGGTGACATGAACTTGAACGATACAATTTTTATGCCACATCTATTCAATATTATAATTTATATAAAACCAAATTCAATAACCATATTCTTTAAGATACTATTTAAGTTTTTAATTATTAAAGTTAATAGAGATCGAATAAGAAATTATATAATTGATACATATATTTTGATTTGAAAGATTTTTCACATGCAAATTAATAAACAATAAACCAACAATTTATGATACGAGAAATGATCATCAACTTATCTTACTTGCCCTTTTTATTTTAATTAATTTGCATTATAAAAATTTGCAGAATAATAACTTTCAAGAATGATAAAATTTAATGGTTTTCTAATATACTTTAAATAACATTACAAGTAAACTGATTTGTACATGTCTGATTATTTATCATACACTGATAAATTTATGTTAAAACGTAATTGAAAAATAAAGCATTAATATCTATTGATATATAACATTTTTACTATTAGTAATCTATGTATAAAAAGTAAAAAAGGCAATAAAATTTCATGACGCATTTACCTATAACATCGCAATCTCGTTGTTCTCGATCGCTTAATTTACGAGAGGCTTGCATTGGCACCTCTGGCAGTAAATTAACTGGTTTCTGTTGAGGTGAACCCTTTTGTAAGTCTAATATTAAATTGCAATTTTGATTTGAATTTAGCGAATTTAGCGAATTCAACGATATCATGTCGTCTTGGTTTCGAACTGGCGATCCATCCGCTGAACTAGCTGATTCCGGCCTGCCCTGTGGTAGTAAATTACTAAGAAGCCAGTGGTTTTGCTGAATATTTTCTTTATTATTGTGCTCCGAAAACGTATTGTGGTTAATTCGATTGTTCGATGATTTCTAATGCGATTTTTCAGTATGAGAAAACACGATAACCATGTATAAGTATCGAAGCAAATGATAATAAAATTATTTAAGTTATACTATTTAGCAATATTTAGCAATATGTATATATATATATATATATATATATATATATATTATATTTAATTACTGTAATTTATTATCTATTTAACGTTACATTTATATTCTTAACCATACTGAACTGTTTTCTACTTTTTTTTATAAAAAATATTCAACATATACAAATCTACCAAATATTAAGTAATTAAAACTTTTATACTTTAATATTGATCCTCTTTTCAAAAGCATATAATTTTAATTTTCTATTTATAATGGAAAGGCAATATTTCACGAATTTATTAAATATACCAGCGAAAAAAACTAACAATTACTTACATTTTCTATTGGAATAATGGCATTAGTTGTCGAGTTAGGATACGAAGATAAATGTCTTTTAATTGGCTTTGGTTGACTTAATTCGACATTTTTTACTAAAGAAGAAACAAGAGCAGCATCTTTGTGAAAATCTGGATGTTTCGTATTAATATATGCTAATTCTATGGCAACCAAGTTTTCCACCTATGAATAAGCAATCAAGTATATTTAAATTCCATGAATATATGAAAAATAAAGAAAATTTCATATATATATTTTTTAAATTATCGATTCTACCATTGTATTGGTTGTGGGAAGTCGTCGACGTAAGAGTTGTGTAACAACATCGACTATTCTCTCGTGAAGTTTCGGAAAGCGTAGCATCTCTTGTTGTACCTCTATTCCACAATGTTGAATAATACGTTGCATTTCTTCGTGCACAAGTTCCACACAACGCAGGGAAGGTTCTTCGAGTCGGCGTATTTGCCTTTTGACTAGGAGTTCGAATGATACTTCAGGCACAAAGAGAGCAGGTCTTGGTCCAGTAGCATTTTGAATGGCAGTTAGAACATCAATTTTTGTTAAACCAGCCAATGGATGAATATAATCCAAAGTTTTTCCAAAAGTTTCGTGAAAAATATAACAAATCCTTGCACCTCCACATAATTCTGTTGTTTCTATATTTCTGGCAGTACCGTCAATTGTTGAACAATAACTGCTCGCAAATTTCGTAATTATTTGAAGAAGCGTTTGGCTTTTGTCGCTTACATCGTCTCCATAAGAATTGAGTAACGTTTGAAATTGAGCCACCATTACATTAACACGTGTCTACAAAATTAAAATATTTATAATGTTTTATTTTAAAGTCTATGTTATTATAATTCCTCATTACTTTTAATTCGGGCAAGCAGTCTCTAATATGATGCATTAATAAACGATTTAATGTTTTTGCTAGGTAAGGCGTTCCGTTTCTATTGGCCAAGGTAGGATATTTCCGTTGTAAAAACGCAGCTTCGTCTCTCAAAGCATCTTTTATAGATTTGTTATTTATGATATCTTGTTGAGAACGATTGACGACACCAATAATACCTAATCGTACAGGAATAACTCTACCACATAAAATGTCTATAGCGTCAGTACCTGATTAAAAGAAAATTAAAGTTATAGATTAAAAATTATAAGAAAAAAACAAAAAGTAAAAATCAATACAAGTACCTGCATCCATAAGATCTAATTTTGTAACGACAGCCAATGTTCTCCTACCATCGGGATCAACATCTTTACTCATTTTTAAACTTTCGCTAGTAGCCATGTCCGTATTGGCAGTTACAACTGCTAAAATAATTGAATTTGGATTCCAAATATACTTAACAACTAATTGGCGAATTTGACTTTCAATATCTTCGGGCTGATCTCCCACTGGAACTTTTGTTATTCCAGGAAGATCAATTAAAGTTAAGTTAACTACAGATTTAGAATAAATTTTTAAATTAATGGGTTCGGGACATATTCCTTTGTTATCACCAGCCATACGATCCGTTTCAAACTCAATTTCTCTACGAATGTCATTGAAGTCTTTATAAACTTTGTGTTTCTGATGAAGAAAAGTGCCCCATTCATCCACATCCAAAGTACCATCTTCGGCACTCCGATTTTGCTTATCATCTTTCGGGGAATATACTAATTGTAATACCAATGGTCGACGAGTCACGATGCCTGTGCCCCTTGGTAAAAATGTACGTCCAACAAGACTTTCTATCACCGATGATTTTCCAGAACTCTATAATCGGGAGAGAAAACAAAAATTTTTTTGTGGTCCATCCATTTATATATAGAAATTATCACAAAGGCAAAATATTAGATAAAAGAAAATGCGTCAGAGTTATTAAGCGATTTATCATATTTCAAGGCAATAAAACTCTTGTGCTTAATTGAGTAAATGATTATCGAACGTGCATGATATAACCGTCGTGAATTTGAAAATTGTTGGAATAACCGTTGTAACATAGTACAATAATACAGTGAAGTAAAGAGACCAAAGTATTAATGCAAACCTGTGTTCCTAAAACAACGATTTGTGGTAGTTGTATAGCATCAGCACCCACGGTATTAAAAACATCTTGAAGCTTATTGATGACTGGAATTAAAGACTCCATTGTATTGTTAAATCAAAGACTTAGACAAATGGATGAACAATGTTGAACCGTTTTTTGAGTGATCGAACAATCACTCGACCTCGCGAATGGCGTTTTCGTCTTGCTTATAAAGGGAATGGCGCACGCGTCAATACCGGCTGGTAGTGGAACTTTTTGTTATTCTTTACTGATCACTTCCTTAAGTCCCCCCCTCCACCAGCGCTCGAAGCATGCACTGCCTCCAGACGATGACGGTTATTCTGGGCTGCCGTCAAACTGCAACGAGTCGAGTCGCGGATTTCCTCCCCGTTGCATCGGCTGTATTCGTCAGCGCGCCTCAGCCTCGCCTATTTCCTCAAGTTTTCATGAAATCCCGTTGGATTTAGGCCGTTGGGAATTTAAGTTTACGATCCCCTTTCCACTAGCTCCCAATCACTCTATCTCATTTTTAAACTCCTTGTTTCTCTTACTTGGCCATCTTGAATTCACGAATCTGCGAAATTCAAATTAAAATATAATGCTACAAGAACGCTTATATACATGTATTTTTTTTCCCCCTCTGCGTATTTTAAGGAACCGCGTCTCCGCTCGTACACGTAAAACTATTATGCGACGTAATAACGAACCTTCGCTCGTTCAATCAGAATCATAACACAATTCATTACCTTACGTACTTGGTAGTCGATTATTTCGCGGGGGAGAAAAAAAAATCAATGGATCAATCCGAATTGTCGTCGTTGTCGCCGCCGCCGCCGCCGCTGCCGCCGCTGCGCATTTAAATCTCACCGCGGCATACAAATTCAAATTAACATAACAATGAAAAATATAAAGCATCAACTTTGACTTACAAACTTCGACATTCCAATGTGTCGATAAATATACACTTTACAATTTAAACTAACGATCCATTTCCAACTAATATCTTAAAAATAAATGTACACGGTAGTAGACTCTGACTTTAAAGCTCCAACCTTCCAACATTTCAAGTCATAATATCGCAATCATAAACTGACTATTGCGACCGACACTGCTGCGACTATTCTCAAAATCATTTCAATGGCAATTTCAAACAGTCAGCTATCACGGGCCCAGTGTTACCTAAAATCAAACAACAAAGCGCGCATTTGTTCGATTATTCTTCATCTACGGCCAATAGACTTTCGCAATAAAGTATTATCGAGATAATCGCGTCACCACTCCGCTCTTCCGTGCATTCGCG